TTGATCTACCCCTCCCCTACCCACTCCCGTAACCCCTTTCTCATCCCCCAAATCCTAATTCTGTCCCTTTTCTCTTTAAATTCCCTTTTAATTATAACCCTTCCGTACACCTTTCCTTGGGAAAAATCGGTAAACTTATTCCTTTTATAATTTTTTTCAGTTTTTTGTTCCCCCTTTTCCCTTTTTTATAAAGGGACTATAAAATTCTCTCCGCCAATTTCCCCCGGGACTTCCCCCTCTTTCATTTCATTTATTAAACAAAAAATAAAAAACCACTCCAAAACAAAAATTCCCCCCCCTTTCTTTTAACAATTTTTTTTCATGATCCCATCAGTTCCCCTGCTTTTACCCCCTTTCATTTTACGTAATGCCTCAGGGACCCCCCACACTTACCCTTTTGCCCCTTTTCTCCTTAAAAGTTGTTTACCTCCCTTTACCAAGGGGGTTTAAATTTAAATGCCTCGGGTTTTTTCCTAACATTAAAAGTTTTCCCCAAAATAATTTTCCCCATCTAAACCAATATGTACCTCCATCTTCCCCTTTACTAACCCCCACTCTGTTTTTTTTGAAAATCCATACTTTCCCTAGGCTTTTTTAAATTGTTTAAATCAAATCCAAAAAAATTTTTTTTTATTTTCCCTTAAAATTTTTTGACAGTGCCCCTCCCACTTTATAAACTGCTCTCCCCTTTTTTCCCTCTCCCCCACTCTCTTTTCCTTTTTTTACTCTCCCAAAATTTTTTGCTCTTTTTACAAAACTTCTGCTTTTTTAAAAAATCTCATAAGCTACCCTTTTTTTTATCACACCCTTTTCTTCATCCCCTTCCCCCACAAATCACCCTCTTTCCCCCTGCCCCCACCCTCCTATAAAAAAACTTCTGCCCCACATTCTAATTTCTGAATTTTTAAAAAATATTCCCCAAACCCCCTTCAAAACCCCCCCCCACTCCCTCTTTGCACTTGCCCATCTTTTTTGCCCCAAAAGCGCTTATAACTCACCCCCAAATTCCTCCCCTTAGTTTATAACTTTCAAACCCCCCCTCTTTTCTTTTTGTTTCCACCTTTCCCCTTTTTTCCCTCTACCTCTTACTCTAACTGTGCACCCAAATAAATAAAAAATCTGATATATCGTTTCCCCTCTATAAAAAATGTACATTTCCCGGGGCCAAACCTTTTTAACCTTTTACCACCAATAAAAATAATCTTAAAAAAACAAATTTCATTTTCGTTTTACATCATAAAACCCTTTTTTATTTATTTTCCCCTTTTTCCCTAAAATATGAAAAACTTAAAAACCAAATCATTTCTACACATAGCTCAATTTAAAAGGGGCCCCCCTTTAATTTACCCCCGGCACCCCCCCTTTAAAACCCACTACCCCCCCTCCTTTAAAATTTTTACCCCCTTTGCATTGAAATTTCCCCAACCCCCCATTAAATCTCACACTTATTTTAAAACTCCCCACGATTCACTCAAAAATTTCCCAAAATCCTCTCTCCTTTCCCCTACACTTCTCTCTTCTCCAAAGGGGCCCTACACGTTATTTTAAAACCCCCTTTTTTAATCCAATTTTTATTTTACTTCCCATAATCCTTGAATTAATTTCATTTTTTAGTCCCCCTTTTTCCCGCCATAGCTTTTCCTTCAAAATTATTGCTACCCCCTTCTTTACTCTAACTCTATTTGAAACCCCAACCTAATCCCCCTTTTCTCCTCTCCACTGAAACTCTTTCCCCCCCCCCCCTTTTTTTCACTTAAAGCCAGGACATCCAGTTCTTCTCATTCATAAAAATCCACAATTTTATCTCTTTCTTTTCATCTGCAAAACATCCACGTACATTTTAACTTCCCACTTTGACATTCTTCTTCTTATTCTTTTTAGTAATCTTTACAGGAAAAAAAGGGGGTTTCTAGCCCATTGTTCCCAAACTTTTTTGTTGACTTTTTAAAAACCCAGGGGTTCGGGGAAAGATTCCCCTTTTTCCATTCCCCATGGATAAAAAGGAAAAGTAATAAAAACCAAGAATTGTAAAAAAAATAAGAAAATTTTGATGAGTGTGTATAAAAAAAATGTGTAATGTATGTGTAGGTGACCTAAGTTTTTAAGTGAAGAACAAGACTCCTGGAATTTTTTGATATTTATGAAAAAAGACAAAAGAAAATCAGCAATCCCCAACCCCCCTCATGTTAAAACCAAACAAGGCTTTCGGTTTTTCACTCACTTTTGGGAGGAAAGTTGTTTCCTCCCCGGGTGGTAGCTTTTTACCAAAAAACTAAACCCACAAACATGTACAAGGGATATATATTTCCCACCCCTCGGGGGTTTTTTCTATTTTTCTTACTGTTCTTTTTCTTGTTTATTTCCCCTTTCTCCCTGGGGAAATGGAAAAGAATTCTTCCTCCGTAAGCTATGGGGGGTTTTTTAGAGGCGACTAAATGCCAGAAGCAAGGGGCTAGTAAAACCCCCTTTCCCGTATAAATTACTAAAATTTTTAAAAAGGGGAAAAAATTTTTTTTTTCTTTTTGGGCCACCCCGCCTCGGTGGGATACGGCCAGTTTATTGAAAGGAAAAAAAGTGTAAAATTTTAAATCCCCTATGGGGATTTTTTTATATCCATGATTCTTTGGGGGGTAATTGCTTTATATCAAAGGGGAATTTTGTTATGATTTTAATTAGGGAAAAAACCCCTTTTATTCTCCAAAGCCCAAAAAATTAAAAAAAATCCCTATGGGTTAAAAAAAAATAATATTTTATACAGTGGAATTCGGTTTTTATGATTTAAATTTGGTTTCCCGAAAGTCTGACTTTAAAACTGAATGTACGAAAAAATGAAGCAATATTTCCCATTTTGGAAAAATTGTAAATCCCAAATTTAAATTTATTCCAGACACCCAAAAAATTTAAAAAAAAATACTTTTTTTCCCGAGGGAAAAAAGATTTTAAAATACAGAAAACAATGAAAATAAATATTTGGACTAATGAAAAAGGATAAATGAACATTTAATCACCTTTTTCCCTTTTTTGAAGACTCTTTTGGGTTTGGGGTTTTTAAATGGGGAGGAGGGGGGAAAAAGGGAGGGGGAAAGGTTATTGGGTTTTGGGAAAGGGGAAATTTCCCCCCCATAAGGGGCTTCAAGAATCAAGGCCCTATCCGGGGGACTTCCCTCAGGGTTTTTTCCTTCCTTATCAAAAGGGGTGGGGTCAAACTTTTTTTTGGGCCCTATGGTGGTTATTTACGTGGAAATCAAAAAAACAAACAAAAAAACAATGGATTATTTTGAAGTGTTTTGGATGAATTTCGCGGGGGGAGTTTCTTCCAAACAAAATTTAAAAAAAGCCGGTGAATTTAGAACGCGTGGGAGCCCTTTTTGGGGGGTGGGGGGGCACAGATGCTTTTGGGGAAGCAAAACTACTGTCAACTCACGAAAAAGAGCGGGTGTGGAACCTGGGCCAAAAAATTTTAATGAAAAAAGTACAAAATTTTTTGAAAAAAATCTTTGGGAAATTTCATTAGTTCAAAAATTTAAACCGTCCCCGAAACAATTTACCATTGGCAATTTTGTCCACTTTCCCATTTTAAGCCAAAAACCATTTGGTTCCCCTTTCCCCCAAATTCTTAGCTATTTTGCTAGAAAGCCCCTTTCCCTTATTTGATTTTGGGTTTAAAAAACCTTTTATTCAAACTATCAAAATACCTTACAAAATGCCCAAAAAAATTTCAAAAATTGGTTTTTTTTATACAATACAAAAATTCCAATTTTAAAAAAATTTCCCAAAATAAGCACTAAAAGACATCCAGGCCCTAAAAAAATTTTCCTTGTTTTATTAATTTTTATTCCCAGGCCTCTTATATTTTTCATTCAAAAATTTAAAAACAAAAATTTTTCCTACTTCTCTGATAAAAATAACCAGGAAGATTGGTCATGATTTACAGTGTCCCAACAATTGATTACAGTGTCCCAACAATTGGGAAACACCCAAAAAAAAAAAAAAAAATTTTGCCAATAATGCAGTGGCCCCCCGTAGGTTCTACATTTTAAATTTGAAGAACCTTGGGAAACTGAAAAGGAAAAAAATTTTTTTTTTGGGTAAAAATTGCTTTTTCAGGGCTTCTGCTAGAAACAAATTTAAGTCCCAAAAGGATGGGGAAATAAGTACTGTAATTGGAAGGTGTCATTTTATGGGTTAAAAACTTCTTGCTTTTTTAAAAGCATTTAAAAATTTCTTCTCTTCACAAACAATAATGTTTTCAAATCAGGGGGCAAGAAATAAAAAAAACCCTTGGGAATGTGGAAGCTTAATTTACTTGGGGATTTTTTTGGGAAGGGTTTCGATTACAAGAATTTCCTTTCTTAATATTTTATACCTGTATAAAAAAATCTTTTGGGTTCCCGTAAAAATGTTGAGAATGTTTGGGGGTCTGGTTTTAAATTTTTTCATCCCATATTTAAACATAGAGCAAAACTTTTAAATTTCTGTCACATTTAAATTTTTTGGCTTCACAAACAGGTTTTTGGGATTGGCTTTTAAACCGGTAGGAGATTGGACCTACCTGCATGGGCAGTAGGCCTGCTGCAGTTTCCTTCTTTCTTATTTTCTTATAATTTAAAAATAAAAATTTTTTCACAAACAGCCTCAAACTTAACAAACCGAAATTTTGTTCCTAAAAACCCGTCAAATTTTTAAAGAATTCGGCGGTGAGGAGCAAAACCCGTTTGTGGTAGGGGGTTTTGGGCAACCATCTTTATATTGTTTTAATGTACCTTTGAGCCATTTATTTTCATTTTTTGTATATTTTTTAAAAATTTTTTTTACAGTAGTGTAAAATGTTAAAAGTAATAAACAGAAAAGGCAAAACAGTTTAATATAAAGTAACTTTTTTTTTGGAAAGCATAAATGGTTCAAAAAAGGCCTTTTCCAATCATCGGGGAAAACAAAATGTTGCTAAATGAGGAAGGCTGTAATATTAAAATGAAAACATCAAATTTTTCGAGGCCTGCCCCAATATATAGTAGCAGTCAATGGGGCTAAACCTTTATTCTAATATTAATCGGTTTAATTTTGTTGGAACAAGAACGGGGCCCAATGTTCTGGCCCCAAGCTTTTTTTAGTACACCTGCCAAATTTGAAAAAAAAAATTAAAAAAAAATTTCAAAAAAAATTAAATATTCTACTTGGCAAATGACCTAACATTACACGTCTGTATTTTATATACAGAAGCCTGTCAGTTAACATATAATCTGTTAACACTTTTGCATTAATGTGGTTTTAAAACTGACATATTTGGTTAGCACACTGTTTTAAGCAGGTTACACAGACGAATATGTGCAGGGGGGAAAATGTAGTATGTACCATGTTCTTTCCTCTCTATCTCACAATAATCCTATGGGTGAGTCCATTGTCTTACTGAAGCGGCCTATGTAATGTACACAACTTCCCTCGCCTCAGTGCTCCATTCATCCATACATGTCCAATACCGTACTTGGCCTGTGTTATTTAAACTATTTTTTATCTTTTCATCATCTCATCTATTCTCTGGATAGTATCCATGGCATCCAAGAGGAATGCGAGTTATCCTGGAAGTATAAAGTGGAAGTTTGTTTTTAAGACAATTGAAATGCAGGTATTAAATAAGTGTGGAGCATGTGTGAAGATGTGCTGAGCCTATCACACACCCAGGACCCACAGCCTTACCACCTGCTCACACACCTTCCTCATGGCCTAACACTTTCTCCCATGCCCATGCTTGCCCATGCCTACCCACTCTCACAGCCCTATGCCCACACACCTTCACCCACACCATCCTCATACAGCCACACACCCACACCTTACCTACACCCACACTTGCCCACACATCCAGCCAATCATCATCCACATTACCACCCACATGACCATCCACCTGGTCGTCCATCATACAGAAACAACCCACACCACCACCAACACTCCCATCCAGACAAGTTATGTCTGTGTACACATATCTAGGTGCCCAATAAACAGCAGGGCTATGCACTTTATTCAGGGGCAGCACCAGTAGGCTAGGAGACATTTTGAAGAAACATTATTATTAAAATTATTATTAACATTATTATTAAAATTATTACTATTTTTATTTTTGGTGGGAACTTTAACCCTTAAACTGTCCAAACGCAGATCTATGTTCACATGCGTAGTGCTCTGAACATAGATCAACGTTTTTCTTTACATGCTTTCAAACAGAGAAAATAAAGGTCTGAGCGCTACGCATGTGAATGTACATCTACATTTGGACAGTTTAAGGATTAAGGACTGACAGAATTTTGGGGGAGTGAAGCCATCAAGCCTTGGCACTGCTCCTGATTTTGTGTGTAAAGAATGAAAAACACTTGTTTATCAAGCCATGTTTCAGGGACTTCCACAGACTAACAGTTTTAGAACATGACCAATCCCTGTATATAAATGTGTTTACATATGTTAGAATAGTTTAACTATGAAGCAAATGGATGCGTGTGTTTACACTTTTGAGTATTATTTTGTAAAGAAGATACTGTTGACGCAGAGCAACTATAGTGTCATAGCTCAGACAACTTGAAAATGTTAAAATTTAGAAAACACTAGAAAAATGGGAAAACATCAATAAAGTAATACCTAACATGCAGCAATCTTCGACATTGCTGTCATGTGGTTCAATGACCTTCAACTCTGTGCTTCATATCTCAACAAGTTCTGATGGAATTTTGTTTTATTACACAGAAAAAATGTGCTTTATTTTTAGAAGGCAAAATGGGGAGGAAGGGATAAATCCCAACATTAACAGCATTTTTAATTTAGGGCTCATGACAGCAAAGAGAGTTAATGCACTGAATGTTTTCTTCAAACTTTTTATATAAATTTTATACAATTTTTTATATAATTTTTTTGAAAACACTGGTAAGGTAAGAAAAATGCTGTCTCGTGAACATTACTCACTCTAATTTAGTTAGAATATGGGAGGCTGGAGGGGCACACCTACAGCACACTGAGATATAGCTGATATTACAGTATGCGGTATCAAAATTTTTTGAGCCGTGAAATTTTTGTTGTATTTTTTTTTAGTTTATTACACACACTCATACTGTATGGTGGTAATATAAATGAGTTTACTATATACAGGTCTCCCTCAACATTCACGTTTTCAACTTTCACGGGCTTCACACATTCGCGAATTCCCAACCGCCAAATTCCCAGCCACCAAATCCCCAGCTGCCAAATCATATTTAAGTTTCCTGCCACCTGAGAGTCCCTACTACCCTCCCTCCGACCCCCGCAACTGGCAGCCAGCCCTCCCACCACTCAGTGTGGTGAGTGTTTTGTTTGTTGATTATTTGCTATTAAACTACAGTATAAATAATGTAAACCCATTCATGACTGCATATTGGAATGGCTATTCGGGCAGGTATTAGACGGTGACATCATGTGTTTACTCTTGAACACTGCGAAGAATTAAACATTTCTGCTACAGCTAATAATAACAATAATAATAATAATAATAATAAATATGATATAATTGAAGAAGGAAATTGTACAAAAATACGAGGGAGTGGTTGACACATCGTCAGTGTGACTTTGTTTATGCTGGAGCGAACATTAGTCTCCCTGCTCTTCCAAACATTTCACAATAATTCATTGTGTTTGATGCTTGAATTTGGTAGGGTGTGCAAAAGAAGAAAATTAAAAGTGAATACAGGAAAGAGTAAGGTTATGAGGATAACAAAAATATTAGGTGATGAAAGATTGGATATCAGATTGGAGGGAGAGAGTATGGAGGAAATGAATGTATTCAGATATTTGGGAGTGGACGTGTCAGCGGATGGGTCTATGAAGGATGAGGTGAATCATAGAATTGATGAGGGGAAAAGGGTGAGTGGTGCACTTAGGAGTCTGTGGAGACAAAGAACTTTGTCCTTGGAGGCAAAGAGGGGAATGTATGAGAGTATAGTTTTACCAACACTCTTATATGGGTGTGAAGCATGGGTGATGAATGTTGCAGCGAGGAGAAGGCTGGAGGCAGTGGAGATGTCATGTCTGAGGGCAATGTGTGATGTGAATATAATGCAGAGAATTCGTAGTTTGGAAGTTAGGAGGAGGTGCGGGATTACCAAAACTGTTGTCCAGAGGGCTGAGGAAGGGTTGTTGAGGTGGTTCGGACATGTAGAGAGAATGGAGCGAAACAGAATGACTTCAAGAGTGTATCAGTCTGTAGTGGAAGGAAGGCGGGGTAGGGGTCGGCCTAGGAAAGGTTGGAGGGAGGGGGTAAAGGAGGTTTTGTGTGCGAGGGGCTTGGACTTCTAGCAGGCGTGCGTGAGCGTGTTTGATAGGAGTGAATGGAGACAAATGGTTTTTAATACTTGACGTGCTTTTGGAGTGTGAGCAAAGTAACATTTATGAAGGGGTTCAGGGAAACCGGCAGGCCGGACTTGAGTCCTGGAGATGGGAAGTACAGTGCCTGCACTCTGAAGGAGGGGTGTTAATGTTGCAGTTTAAAAACTGTAGTGTAAAGCACCCTTCTGGCAAGACAGTGATGGAGTGAATGATGGTGAAAGTTTTTCTTTTTCGGGCCACCCTGCCTTGGTGGGAATCGGCCAGTGTGATAAAAAAAAAAAAAAAAAATGTTATTAAATACATACATGTTAATAATAATACATGTTATTAATAATAACATGTACTATTATTATTTATTACATATATGTTATTAAATACCACTGCCTCAACCACTGAATTATTGTGAAATGTTTGGAAGAGCAGGGAGACTAATGTTCATCCAGCATAAACAAAGTCAGACTGACGATTGTAACCACTCCCTTGTATTTTTGTACAATTTCCTTCTTCAATTATAACGTATTTATTATTATTATTATTATTATTATTACTATTGTTATTATTAGCAATAGCAGAAATGTTCGATTCTTTGCTGTGTTCAAGAGTAAACACATGATGTCACCGTCTAATACCTTTCCTAATAGCCATTCCAATATGCAGTCATGAATGGGTTTACATTATTTATTCTGTAGTTTAATAGCAAATAATGAACAAACAAAACACTCACCACACTGAGTGGTGGGAGGGCTGGCTGCCAGTTGCGGGGTCAGAGGGAGGGTAGTAGGGACTCGCAGTGGTGGAGGCATTGGTGGAGGCATTGGTGGAGGCAGTGGTGGAGGCAGTGGTGGAGTCTGTGGCATTTAATAACATACATGTTATTAACATACATGTTATTAAATAACATACGTTATTAAAGCATAACATGTATATATTTAGTACAATTTACGACGTTTTCATGTATTTTATGATTATTCATGATTCAACAAGTTAAGGAAGCAGTATTGTAATGTATTTCCCTACAATATATTGGGGCACCAAACATTCACGGTTTTTCAACATTTGCGAGGCTCTTGATCCCCTAACCCTCGCAAATGTTGAGGGAGACCTGTACTGTACATACATGAGGGCATGTATATGGAAAAAAAGAAGAGACCTACAGTATTTCTATTAGGATTTGACAACATACCTTGGTTTGAGCACAAACTCCTTCTATAACATCCACAACAATAATTGTTCCATCACAAAGGCGGACAGCCGTTGAAACTTCAGATGAAAAATCCACATGTCCAGGCGAATCAATTAGATTGATAATGTATTCCCCTTCTGGTCTCTTGTATGCCAATGAAACACAAGAGCTCTTCATGGTGATCCCTCGCTCCATTTCCTCCTTGCGACTATAAAAGAACAGTTATTTGTAATTGTAATACACAGTCCTGTACTCAAGTACAGTAGTACCCCAGGTTTCGGCCATAATTCGTTCCAGAAGGCTGTTCGAGTGCCATTACCGAACGAATTTGTTCCCACACAGAATAATGTAAATTAGATTAGTCTGTTTCAGACCCCCAAAAATACACGTACAAAAGCACTTACAATAATACACTTACAAAATTGTTCGAGTTGGGAGCTGTACGAAACTCAGGGTACCACTGTGTATGTCTACCAATGCACGAGTCGACATTAAAGACTATCTGCTCAAAAGAAGGCTGGATCATTAAATAATTGCCTACAACCACCAACTACAGGACCGCCATCACAAATCTGGCATCACTGGGACTTGTAGTGTGCCGGATTACTGAGTCTGCCGGATTACAGAGTGGTTAGGTTAGAATACACTTAACAAAATTAACCAACTTGACTTACACAAAGTTCATTGAACATCAGCGAAAATTGAACATTTCCACTATTTTGAGCTCAATTTCAAGGTACTTTTTGTCGTGAAACCAATCAAAATCATATCTATTTCCATAATATATCTTCCATTCTATCAAATGAGACCAAAAAACGAGAATACAACCATAAAAACCATACGAAAATATACCACAAAGAGGCGGCTAATGGCTGAGAAGTGAACTCCCTTATTTATCGTCCGATTTTTTTTTCATTTTTATGTACAGGGGACCCCCAAGTTTCGTGATTAATCCATTCCAGAGAGCCTGCCGAAGGTCGAAATTCACGAAACTCGAAACCATTTTCCCCATAAGAAATAATGAAAATAAAATTAATCCGTTCCAGACACCCAAAAATATTAAAATAATTTTTTTTTTTTTCAAATTAAAAGGGGGTAGGAGAGTTTCAGTGGGGGGAAATAAATGGGATTAAATCTGGAGTATCTGAGAGAGTTAGAGCAAAGGAAGGGGTAGCAGTAATGTTAAATGATCAGTTATGGAAGGAGAAAAGAGAAAATGAATGTGTAAATTCAAGAATTATGTGGATTAAAGTAAAGGTTGGATGCGAGAAGTGGGTCATAATAAGCGTGTATACACCTGGAGAAGAGAGGAATGCAGAGGAGAGAGAGAGATTTTGGGAGATGTTAAGTGAATGAAATAGGAGCCTTTGAACCAAGTGAGAGAGTAATTGTGGTAGGGGACCTGAATGCTAAAGTAGGAGAAACTTTTAGAGAGGGTGTGGTAGGTAAGTTTGGGGTGCCGGTGAAAATGTTTAATGGGAGCCCTTTGATTGAACTTTGTATAGAAAGGGGTTTAGTTATAGGTAATACATATTTTAAGAAAAAGAGGTAAATAAGTATACAAGATATGATGTAGGGCGAAAATGCCCAGTAGTTTGTTGGATTATGTATTGGTAGATAAAAGACTGCTGAGTAGACTTCAGGATGTACATGTTTAAGAGGGGCCACAGATATATCAGATCACTTTCTAGTTATAGCTACATGAGAGTAAAAGGTAGATGGGATACAAGGAGAATAGAAGCATCAGGGAGAGAGAGGTGAAGGTTTATAAACAAAAAGAGGAGGCAGTTAGGGTAAGATATAAACAGCTATTGGAGGATAGATGGGAAAAAGAGAGCATAGGCAATGGGGTCGAAGAGGTATGGGTAGGATTAAAAATGTAGTGTTAGAGTTTTCAGCGGGAAGTTTGTGGTTACAGGAAAGTGGGTGCAGGAGGGAAGGGGGAAAGCGATTTGGTGGAATGATGATGTAAAGAGAGTAGAAAGGGGGAGAAAAAGTTAGCATATGAGAAGTTTTTACAAAGTAGAAGTGATGCAAGGAGGGAAGAGAAATATTGGAGAAAAAGAGAGAGGTTAAGAGAGTGGTGAAGCAATGTAAAAAGAGAGCAAATGAGAGAGTGGGTGAGTTTGTTATCAACAATTTTGTTGAAAATAAGAAAAAGTTTTGGAGTGAGTTTAACAAGTTAAGAAAGCCTAGAGAACAAATGGTTTTGGGCAGTTAAAAATAGGAGAGGAGAGTTATTAAATGGAGAGTTAGAGGTATTGGGAAGATGGAGGGAATATTTTGAGGAATTGTTAAATGTTGATGAAGATAGGGAAGCTGTGATTTCGTGTATAGGCAAGGGGGAAAAAACATCTTGTAGGAGTGAGGAAGAGCCAGTTGTGAGTGTGGGGAAGTTCGTGAGGCAGTAGGTAAAATGAAAGGGGGTAAGGCAGCCCGGGGTTGATGGGATAAAGATAGAAATGTTAAAAAGCAGGTGGGGATATAGTTTTGGAGTGGTTGGTGCAATTATTTAATAAATGTATGGAAGAGGGTAAGGTACCTAGGGATTGGCAGAGAGCATGCATAGTTCCTTTGTATAAAGGCAAAGGGGAAAAAAAGAGTGGCAAAAATTATAGGGGGATAAGTCTGTTGAGTGTACCTGGTAAAGTGTATGGTAGAGTTATAATTGAAAGAATTAAGAGTAAGACGGAGAATAGGATAGCAGATGAACAAGGAGGCTTTAGGAAAGGTAGGGGGTGTGTGGACCAGGTGTTTCAGTGAAACATATAAGTGAACAGTATTTTAGATAAGGCTAAAGAGGTCTTTGTGGCATTTATGGATTTGGAAAAGGCGTAGACAGGGTGGATAGGGGGGCAATGTGGGCAGATGTTGCAAGTGTATGGTGTAGGAGGTAGGTTACTGAAAGCAGTGAAGAGTTTTTACGAGGATAGTGAGGCTCAAGTTAGAGTATGTAGGAAAGAGGGAAAATTTTTTTCCCCGTAAAAGTAGGCCTTAGACAGGGATGTGTGATGTCACCGTGGTTGTTTAATATATTTATAGATGGGGTTGTAAAAGAAGTAAATGCGAGGGTCTTGGCAAGAGGCGTGGAGTTAAAAGATAAAGAATCACACACAAAGTGGGAGTTGTCACAGCTGCTCTTTGCTGATTGACACTGTGCTCTTGGGAGATTCTGAAGGAAAATTGCAGAGATTGGTGGATGAATTTGGTAGGGTGTGCAAAAGAAGAAAATTAAAGGTGAATACAGGAAAGAGTAAGGTTATGAGGATAACAAAAAAGATTAGGTGATGAAAGATTGAATATCAGATTGGAGGGAGAGAGTATGGAGGAGGTGAACGTATTCAGATATTTGGGAGTGGACGTGTTTAGCGGATGGGTCTATGAAAGATGAGGTGAATCATAGAATTGATGAGGGAAAAAGAGTGAGTGGTGCACTTAGGAGTCTGTGGAGACAAAGAACTTTGTCCTTGGAGGCAAAGAGGGGAATGTATGAGAGTATAGTTTTACCAACGCTCTTATATGGGTGTGAAGCGTGGGTGATGAATGTTGCAGCGAGGAGAAGGCTGGAGGCAGTGGAGATGTCATGTCTGAGGGCAATGTGTGGTGTGAATATAATGCAGAGAATTCGTAGTTTGGAAGTTAGGAGGAGGTGCGGGATTACCAAAACTGTTGTCCAGAGGGCTGAGGAAGGGTTGTTGAGGTGGTTCGGACATGTAGAGAGAATGGAGCGAAACAGAATGACTTCAAGAGTGTATCAGTCTGTAGTGGAAGGAAGGCGGGGTAGGGGTCGGCCTAGGAAAGGTTGGAGGGAGGGGGTAAAGGAGGTTTTGTGTGCGAGGGGCTTGGACTTCCAGCAGGCATGCATGAGCGTGTTTGATAGGAGTGAATGGAGACAAATGGTTTTTAATACTTGACGTGCTGTTGGAGTGTGAGCAAAAGTAACATTTATGAAGGGATTCAGGGAAACCGGCAGGCCGGACTTGAGTCCTGGAGATGGGAAGTACAGTGCCTGCACTCTGAAGGAGGGGTGTTAATGTTGCAGTTTAAAAACTGTAGTGTAAAGCACCCTTCTGGCAAGACAGTGATGGAGTGAATGATGGTGAAAGTTTTTCTTTTTCGGGCCACCCTGCCTTGGTGGGAATCGGCCAGTGTGATAATAAAAAAAAAAAAAATAATGAAAACAATCAGAAATCAAGTACATGCATTTAAAATAAATAATAATAACACTACACTTACCTTTACTGAAGACTTCTGGGTGGATGAAAGATGGGAGGAGGTGATAGGAGAAAGGTGTACACTATTGTTTGGAAGGAGAATCTCCTTCCATTAGGACTTTAGGTAGCAAGTCCTTATCTGGGGTTACTTCCCTTCTTCTTTTAACCCTTTGAGGGTTTTGGTCGTACTAGTACGTCTTACGCGTAGGGGTTTTTGACGTACTAGTACGCATAAATTCTAGCGGCCTCAAATCTAGTGGGAGAAAGCTGGTAGGCCTTCATATGAAAGAATGGGTCTATGTGGTCAGTGTGCACAGTCTAAAAAAAATCCTGCAGCACACAGTGCATAATGAGAAAAAAAAAACTTTGACCATTTTTTTGGAATAAATCAGCGACTTTGCAGTGTATTTTCGTATGGTATTTATTGTTGTATTCTAGTTTTCTTGGTCTCATTTTATAGAATGGAAGACATTATTACAGAAATTGAGATGATTTTGACGGGTTTTTACAATGAAAGGTGCCTAAATTGGCTAAAAGTAGAGAAATGTTCGATTTTTACCAAACTTAAAAAGTAAAAAATCGTCCCAAGGTGCAATACAGTCAACTGGTGAGTCAAATTTTTTTTCAAAAGTGCACCAATAATATTTATCCCTTTTTTTACACTAATGCATAGTCTGCATAACATAAATCTTATTTTTTTTTGTGAGAATAAAAATTCAAAGTGGAAAGAAAAAGAATATAAGGGGGGGCCTTGGACGTGACTAAGACTAGAGGAAATGTCATTTTAGTGCCGGGAAATGTCTTTTTGTTTTTTTGGGGACCCTATTCGGAAATTGGACTTTTGAAATTTTTTTGTAAAATTTGGGAAAAATTGTTTAAATTCTGACCATGTACGGGTAGTTAAATTTCTAAATGGGGGTTTTTGACCCATTCGATAAAAAAAAATGGATTTCTAGCGAAAATTTTCTGTTTTTTGTCAAAGTACAGTGAAATG